CAATGGTAGTATATGAAACGACCATTTACTATCACAAGGAAGTGAAAGGACCATTCTAGTAAATTTTTTATTTTTTATATTTTCAATCTCGAGTGATCTTTACGATTTGTCTTAAAGGGACGTTGGGTAAATCGCTAAAACGGGGATTGTTGTAAATCGCTTACTGGTTTCATTTATATATTTATACATATATCTAATATGATAAGGTACAAATTACAGAGAAAACAAGATTACTTTGTGATAACGCCGTAGGGAAGATTTATGATCATTAGTGCAACTGTGACGTATCTGACCGAAACAATAAAACGTTGCAATCTACTTAGACATTTCAGTTGTGTATATGTGACATGTGCGTGCCTGACTTAGCAAAGAAATTAAAAGCGCGGTTTGCCACAAAGTTATTTGTACTTACATATGAATATAATTATTATCCATGTATTCCAAAAAGGAATCACGAAATTAAAATATTTAATTCATGAAAATATTGGGATACAATTTACATAAAAAATGACAAAACTTCAGTTTTTTACAATGCTAAGATCTGTAAGGTACTGATATAATATTAAGTTTACTATTTGTATGATTTCATCTGCATTATTTCTTAACTTATGAAAAATACATATTCCGGTTACATTTATAGTAACAGTAGTTAATAGATTGCGGATGTTATATCAGGCGCATCATCAGATGCACAGTAGGACAGTTTATAAAAATAAGATGTCTGCTCCTGAACACTTTCAATCGGAAACAGCGTTCATCAGAATCAAAAAATCAGGAGTTTGCCAAGTATAAAAACAGTTTTATAGGATTTGACAATTCCCAGTGCAAGTTGTATTACTGCATATATTCTTCCAAAACTAATTATTATTATTAGACCGCAGATTTTCGTCTATTTTAATGACATAAGTAAAAATATAGAACTGAAATAAAAACTCGTTTTATCTATTAAAAATTATAGTACACATTCCTATTGTGAGTATTTTGTTATGTTTATTAAATATCCCACAAAAACATAAAAATTTGTAGTCTAGTGATTATAAACAATGAGATAATTGCAAATCAATTGCAAATGAGACAAGATTTGATTTATTTGTAGCGACACATGAGCTAAGGACAATTCGAATCATGTTGTTTTGCCTCGGTGTATCCATATCGTTAGGATCCACATAATGTAATAATAAATGAACTCCGGACGAAACAATGTCGCCGCTACGTGAAACTGTCAAGCAAACTCGAATTCAAATTTTCTGGCTCTCCCCAACCAGTATAGATAAACGAACGCGACCGTAGGAGTTTCAGTTATTAGCGACCTTATTAGCGATTTGTACACTGTCTTTAGCGAATCCGTTAGTATGAGGATCTTAGCGAACGTTATCTATATTTATTTATTAATTATTTTAAATACATTTGACGGTTTTAACTTCAAATTATCTCGTCATTTAAATAACAACACAACCAACCAACCTCTGCATATTCATGATTTAGTAATTAAAGGACATCTTGTTAAAAGTATGTAAATATGCAGATACTTTTGCGCGCTAATGTAGATACAACAGGTGTATGTAATTTTTGTAACATTATGTTTTCTATTCTTTTACTGCTTTTTTTCTTAATAAAGATGAAAGTGAATAAACTGTTACATGTTAACAATACGTGTCTTAATGTGTCAAAAATATTCGCAAATTTAACACTTCATTTATTCTAGTATAGAACAAATTTCTATTCCCTTCGACATCTGTAAAAGTGCTACTAAAATAAGCAACATCTGTTTTCCGCCCCATAAATCCAGAATTAATAAGAATTTATTATTTCCATAATATGAAATGATTATTTTTAATACCTTCTCCAATAATGGGTACTGACAAAAACGACAGAATATGGGTTGATTTCTGCGCAGAGATATTTTATTCAAATCGATGTGGCAATGACTGTAATTTCTCCGTATAAGATCCCTGTCATTTTATTATATATCTGAATGCTCCAACAACTTCAGTGTGATACAAGAGTGAGTATTTGATATGACAACTACGATCGAGTACGACCTGAGACTCCTTTCGTGTTGACGATGATGATGACTGTGTTCGACTTGTAGGTTCTTGTTGTACTTCTGACTCCTGATGTTACTTGTATTGGCCTCTGACTCGAGTTGATTTAGACTGACTGAGATTTGACTGTTCTGTTGATGAGAACAAGTTTAAAGAGATGACGTGAATAAGACTCGACATAGACTGGATGTAAGTGACTGTTCTGTAGTCCCGAGAACAAGTCTAGAGGGTTGAAGTGTTTAAAACTGACTTGTCGCTCCTATGTTATTACGAAAGAAATATGGGTGTGCCCTTTGAACGAAGAACGCGGATTCGTTGTTCACACTTTTTGTTAGGAAAAGTGAGGGTAGCGATCCGCGATGTCGATTGGTTGTGACCCACGTTAATGCTAAAAGGTATGGGGAGGAGGCCTCCTACCAACGTGGTTTGTGGGTGACATTGTTCATGGGTAAAACCAGCCTCTTTTGTTAAACAAATATTCGGTTTTTCCCAATAGGGGACTACCCGTTTTCTCCGTGTTTTTAAGAGCGCCTAATAAACCCAAGGACTTTTCTATGGTAAGTACCAGCCATAAACCGAAAACGCTTATAAGATTAGAAAATCCTTCCGGATGAGCACATTAAATTGAAAACATATGTTAACGATTACGTAAAGTTAAGGTCTATGGTGGGGCCTTAGGTTTATTGAGGGTCTATCGAATGGTGCTTGGGCCTTGACGGTCAGACACTCAAAGACGTCGCACGGACCATTTCACGCGACGTAACAAATATTTTCGCAATAAAGTATTTAAAAAATTTTTAAATTTCTACAAGTTTTTATCCAGATCTGTTTCGTTTAAAGTTTAAAATATCACAACTGAATTCGGTTCTCATTTTATCTAGTGGAAGACGATGAATCCAAAGAAAAGAAGATGCTATGGTTTTATAAATTTCTTTGACAGACTGATTTGCACACTTTAACGTAGACATCTGGAGCTAACTGAAACCATACTTATTTGCTTATTTCTGTGAGAATACTGATAATGTATGTCTGTATGTCATTGTTACAGGTTGGTACCATATTATTTGACACAATTAACCTTACCTACATTTTCCATATCGATTAATTGATTGCTTAAACTTATATGGCAACTGAGTTGAGTGCCTCATGGCTAGTTCAGTACATACTTTTATTTATTCAATTGTTTTACGCGCTTACGCTTAAGCGCCTTAAGGTCAAGATCAGTTTGTAATAAATACACTAAATACACTAATTCATGACTCTATATAAGTAAAAAGTCAATAAGAATATACTATGTAAATTAGATGCTATGTAAATTAGCTAACCCTAAAATATATGTAATATCGTGATATAATATGTTTACAAGGAATGGATGACACAGATGTTAATCGGACAGAAAAAGACGATTGTTGTTAAACCTGAACTATTCACACCAAATGTACAGAAAACAGCACAACTAAATAATTAGATAACGACTCGACTTTCACAAAATGCAATCAACATTCTCTCGGCAACGCCACTCGCAAGCTCAGCTTCTCGACTGACTCTCTGGCCGTTGTAGCATTCTATTGTCTTTTGCTAGGCCCACCGCACACGTGTCTGCAGCCGTTCGTAGCCAGGGTCACGTAGGTCTTTTCTACGAAACTATGCACTTGGAAAGACCGATACTACATTATCAATTCAGTTATCCACAAAAAACTAATATCTTCGTATCTTGGCTGTGATTGTCTTCGGTAAGCTGAAAATATTTGACTCTCTGAACCGGTTTCCAATTTTCAGTCATCTGTTTCAATCTTCCGAACCCTCATCCTCTTATTTAACAAAACGCTTTTCCACCTAAAATTCGTACGTTATAGGTATTAGTGTTACATTAATCCGACTCTGTTAACATTTAATAGTACTGACTTTACGATCTTTCGCAGACGTGTCATAACAATTTGTTACCAAACTGGCTTTAAACACTTCTGTTGAAGTGGTTACCACTGCTAAGAAAACTCTACATCTGGTTTTTTTAGTTTTCTCAAACACTGAAGCCATCGACAGCGTGTAGACAAAAGACTGCGTCGAAGACAGACCATAGACAGTAGACAGGCGACGTTGGCTTCGGGGTTTTCAGTGATTGGGTAACACAGCTAGCATGCGGATCTGGACCAGCTCAAATTGTATTCTTACTTATAATTACACTTCTATTTAAATATATTTTCTGCCTTACAATTTATCGACGAGTTTTCTCTGTTTACACATCGAATAACCTCAAGAACTTCAAACGTACGTTTGTATGAGCGGAGTTTTTGTTTTTCGATCATCAAAGCAGCCGTTTCTTATTACACGGTGATGAAAACGAAGTAATGAAAACGTAACGTAAATAAAGCAAATTACATAATTTGTGCGAGATGTTAGTTAATTAAAATATTTGTTATATGAAAGTGGTTGTAGAACATGACGAAACATAATTTATTACGAATTATACCAATGAAATGTACATAATTGTAGTTATTCGTTCATTTATTATCGAATTTGCTCATTACTCTACAAATTTTTAACACAAAATACAGTTACGATTATTAATTTTATGAAAACAATTAGACACTCTCAAATTCATTGTCTTCGTTGGTCTGTTGCAACTTATATTACAGTATTTTGCTTTTCACATCATCTTTAAAACTCTATGTCGTCGATGTACAATTGTGTATCTAGATATCTCTCGTTTCCAATATCTGTGACATACATAATATATGTAAGAAGTACATACGCATAACGAGGGTACCTGCTAGTTCCTTCTTCAAATGTAATGATTAAATATTCATGATGTATATGGAACACATACATTGCATTTGTGACGTATGATTGACAGTGAGTTAAGGACAGAAGCACTTTATCGTAGATATATTTTTCATGTGCGTTAAAAGGTTGCATTTACAGTATGACAGTAATGATTTACAGAAATGTCGAGTGTTCAGACTTAGTTAGTTGAGACTGAACTTTCATCATGAATAGAGCTACACTAGAGGCGCGATTCTTAAAGATAACGAAAATATTCGCGAAACTGAATGGGGTTTGGCCAGATCAAAATAAAGTAAAATTCATTTTATGGGCTATGGTGTATATTACTATGGGATCGTCTATCATTGTACAGGTACACGTCTATCAATTTATGTCGCAATCCACTAACATTCACAACACAACATCATAATGAAATATTCAACGATACTGGCTTAAATTACCTCCCATTGCTCCTTTGTTTTAACCGATATGAAATGTAAATAAAATTCATGGATAGTCTTAATCTTTTACATTTCAAAACATAACTTTCAATTTTAAGAAAGCTTCATGGTAAAAGAGCCCTGGACGATCATGTAAAAAGTTCTTAGAGTCCTTAAATAATTTTAGAAAGACATAATTAACTCTTAAATGCAATCATTACCGAAACTTCACACCTTGCGAATTTTGTTTTGATATCAATATCTCATTTGAAAAATAATGTTGTTTCTTTTAATAAAATCATGAATAATAATAAATACTTATAAAATACTTAATTTCATTGAAATTCAAATGCCCGGTTTCTAAACTAAAAAAATTTAAATAGCATTATCGCGATTTTCTTAATAATAGCCTTTATTAATAATAGATACAAGTACTATTTACAAATAATTAAGGATAGACCATTGATTTCAATTCAAGGTAGCGAGAGTCATACATATAGGCAGTTTGGAAGTCGTAATAGAGCAGTCGTCCTTAATAGGTGCGGGATTTCTCATGATCATAAAACATGGTAACTATGTTCTGAACGCAAAGAAGGTAAGCAAATATTTGCCAATCACAACAAGATTCTTCTAGTTTGCACACCAACCTCACAAATATTATAGCTCAAGTCCCTTTTGAATGACATGTCCGAGGACTGGGCAATCGATCGTTTGGAAGAAGAATTTGCCATTATGGCCACATACGCTAATAGAGGAAGCATTCTTGCGATGTTCTACTTTGGTAAGTCGATATAAGTACTTAAAAAAGCAATTTTAATCGATAATCTCGTTAGACTACAACATGAACAGATCTGGCTAACAGTTATATATATAAACAACCAAACAACCAAAACAACATCTCCGCGGTTGCATAATAAATACATAAGCAAAATTGAAACGTTAATATTAAAAAACGTTACAATTTTCAACGCAAAACACACAAAAAATGGCAATTTGATGGTGCTTTGTAATATTTTAATTAGAAAATGGAAAACTTGAAAGGAATATAGGAATGGGTACCGTTTGTCCATGCTAGAGTTCATTATTTTACATTTTATAATTTAATTAGTAGACTGCGAATGTTTATGCATTTATGGGAAATTTAAAGGTGCTAAAATGCACGAAATTAACATCATATGTAAAAGTAGAAACTGTTCAAAGTATAGCATTTATTCTACAATTTCGAGAATGAAACAAACATTTGTTTAGGTTCTATCTTTCGACACGTTTTTGCCACAATAGGTACGTATATGCATAAACACCTATAATGAATTAAGGTAGCAACCATTTGCTTTCAGTAAACGCGTGCATATGTGCATTCCTTTTCTTACAATTACCATGGACGGCGCGTCTGGTGCACATGATGAAACCACACAATACATCATCACCAATGTTATACACTATACCAGCTTACTATTTCGTCGAAGATGACCGCAAATATTACTATTATATTCAAATGTATCTGGGCCTCTCTATATATGTGGTGCTCATCGTGTTCATCGGTTGCGATACTTGTTACATGGTCCTTGTGCAGCATGCTTGCGGATTGTTGATTGTGACGGGGTAAGCAAATCAAAAATTTCTTCCATTTTCCAAATTTTATTGAATAAATTGCATGTTTTTAGATACCGCTACAAAAATGCAATCAACGACCTTTCTTTCAATACAAAGGATTCCGAAAAGAAGGCGAAGGAGACATATGAAAGAGTACGCTTCTCCATACAGGCGCACCAGCGGGCAATAATGTCAGTACATATTAAACAGCGAATACAAATGTTATAATCTAAATTGAAAAATTTATGGTATAAGAATTCATATTTTACTTTCAATGATTTTGGTTACGAATAACTACGATAAATGATTTAATTCTTTTTATTTATTGGTAATCATTATAGATGACAGAGATTGTTTTTGGTTACTTTCAATACTCAATTATACTTTCAACAATCGTCAACATTGAAATAGATAGATATCTTTTACAATTTCAGTATTTAATAAATCCCATGAATATTTAGTGATTATTGTTTTCCATTTAAACAAAAATTAACCTTCTCATAATTTTTAAAGTGATTACTATTCTTATTAGGTTTTATATATATTACTATATTTATTAGGTTTCCACTTTTAATCATGTATTTTCCCGCTCCTTTTTCGAAGATTTCTGTTGCCAAGAAACGTTTTTCTTAATTTTACTTATGAAACAGGTTTCTGGAAAAAATCGAGAGCACACACGTTACATACCTTTTTATGTGTATGGGCATAGTAGTCTTGTGCGTTAGTATTACAATGGCACAGGTAAGCTTCTTTTAATCGACTTTATATCTTTGAACATGATTTATCAATAGATTGTCGATTGTTTGAAATTAGATCGCTACGATGGAAATATGTGTGGATTTTTACAAATTTATCAGCTTTCTGGTGATTCAGTTCTTGCATCTATTCTGTCTAACGATGCAGGGACAGTTCATCATAAATTCGTCTGATGAGATTTATGATGCAATGTGAGTATAATACATATTATGAAAACTATTGAGATATGTACAATTTTGTGTTAGACTAGATTAGCCGTGTAGTAGTGACACACATATGTGAGTATGAGTGTATGGGAGCATGTGTGTGCACAGCGTCTCGACAAACAGATAAATGTAACTGTTCCGTTGGCATAGTATAGAAGATGGTGAGACAAAGAGAGTGCTGAGACGCGTACAAATGTATATCGACGAAGATCCTGCAAATCGTTTATTAAATAAATTTAAAACTATTTTAATATAAATTCTAAGTATAATCTTAGTTTTCCTTTACTTTTATTTCGGCAATTAAGATCCACAATTCTCAACAACAACTTTATTTTCTTCCATTATTTGTAGTGTTATCAACTGTTTGCATGAATTGTCAACAATGCAAAAGAAGTACAGATTATGCTTATGCTATGTATATTATTACTACGCTACATATATAATTTAAAGTACTTTAAGCAATTTGCTAGTTCTTTTACTTATTTGTGATCTTCTAAATTGTCCTTTATAATAGCTTTTAGAATTAAGATAAAAATAAAATAATATTTGCCATTGGCTTATCAAAACAGAAAATTTCTAACTTATTTTCGTTTATTCGAATAGTTGTTCATGCGACAGAAATGTTTATATTTAGTATAATGTTAATTTGTATTAATATAATGTTAATTTATAGATTATAATGAAATTTGTAGATACGAGGCATCATGGTACAACACGAATCCAAAAACGCAAGCGTTATACTTATTAGCGTTGCGGCGAAGTCTAACTCCATGCTATTTAACTGCTGGCGGTTTAATACGGTTGAACATGGAAAGCTTTTCAGAAGTAATGTATTAATAGTCTTATCTTCAATAATTACGCCGCATTCGCTGGAACAATATTGGTATATTTCAGGTGATAAAACTGTGCGTTTCATATTATACAGTGTTGAGATCAACATGAACAACGGATCGATATTCAGTGATTTGTGATGACTCCTTTACGTTAAATTAATCACACTAGATACGTTATTTGGAATGATCGTTTTATCAATATTATTACAATTGATGGTGTAAAATAACTTGATAAAACTGTCCTAATATTATCTCAATTCATAATACAGATACGAGTATTATCGAAATCAGCAATTAGTAAATAACAGTTTCGTTTCTGCTTACAGAAACAAATAAAAATATTTGAACACTTGTAGAAGTTTTTTATTAATATATTATTATTTTATTAATATATATTTATTTTATTAATAATATATTATACACAACATTTTGAAATTTCATTATTATGAATGTCAATATCCCTAAAATTTGAAACCAATGTAAAAATATGTATAAGAACTAAAAAAAGGGTTTGGTAAATAGTCAATTATCTACTATACGTATTAATGAATCTCAATATTTACTGGAACTATGCGTAACATTTATTATACTATTATTTAGGATAGCAATTCCAGCTATAGATTAATGTCGTGGTAAATATTTGTTTGCAGTAAACTCTTTGCAACTTTTATATATGTTTTTAAAGTAGTATCAAATGGTACCAATATACTCCATTACAGTGTTGATGGAATTCCAAAATGTTTCGCATAATATGTACAATATATGCAGAAATGTCTTTATCGTATATCTATCGATTTAAAATGTAATAGGTATTACATATTATTTCACTTATCTGCACAATTCCATTAGATTTGGCATTTTTTATAAGTGTAAGTATCATGGTAGCACTAGCACCACTAAGAAAAATATTAGTATTAATCGTGGTAAGAAATTGAATTATTCATGCATACAGCATTGGACGCTTATTGATCTCATTGCAAAATATTAATTTGAAATCTGGATCGTGGGAGTAGGTCAGCTCAAACGTGGACGAAGCTCGCGACGCTTCCTCATAGAGTGAATACAGATGGAAGACAAAGTGTGTTTTCACTATTTATGGCTCAACGTAGAAGATAACAAGATTAAAATGCGCATAGTTCTTTTCGATCTTTAACTTCATCCCTATACTTCATCCTTTCACGTTCTGTTACCGTTCTACAACCGTTCAACTATCTACGCACGCAACTGTTCTTTCTCAAGCTTTTCGTTATCAAATTAATTTAGGATACCCGGAGTATCTATACTTACGTTAATCGTTATTAAGAATTACGCAAAGAAAATTTGATGACTCTCAATTGTCTTTTTACACAAAATACATTTTTTCTATAAAATGCGATAAGAATAAGACATTTATCAGTAGCTAATGCTTCCACCGATTACTTACTTGCACAGCATTGTCAAAGATATACTTTAAAAACATAGAATTAATATAGGAGAATAAATTATTAAACCATCACTATGTTTTACAAGGGTCGCGATGACAGCAGGTACGCAGTACGCACTTTCGTATTTACAAGCATTGTTCCGATAGATTTCGCATGGTCGAAAGGAAGTGGAAGTGTACCTATTCCTACCAAGTGGACCAATTCCTACCACTCAACAAATTTCGGTGTTATTCTTCATATGTCAGTCGTATATACGTCGTGCAATTTTTACGTTATTTTTTATCTTATTATGGACAAAACGACATTGGAAGAAAAGTACATGAAAATAATCAAAACATGCACTACGGTTACCGGAATTTGACCTGATCAAAGTAAATATTCGGAACTGATCATGTCAACGATTATATACATTATTATCCTGTTATCATCAACGAGCGATATATAACAACGCAGGTATGTAAATATTAATTTGTGATTGACTGTCCTCTATAGAAACTTTGATTTATTGATACATATATAAGTATCTACTATATTAATGAATAACTGTATTGAATAATCATTCAGTAATCACGCACCAGCATTGTGATGTTCGTCGAATTTCTCACAAAATTCCACATTTTTTAAATGTATTCTATACGTACTAATGTGACAATTTCTCTTTTGTTAAATTAATCGGTGGTTGATTGTAGATGGCAAACTTCGTGTGGTTCCTTAGTTTAATTCAAATTATAATTTAGTTTAGTTTAAATACCGTAATAGAGCAGGCGTGCTTCTTGAATTAATGCGGCAGCTGGGGCATAGATAAAACAAGAGAATTACATTATCAGTGGTGCGAAGGTAAAGAAATCTTTTGTTTCACTTCCCATTTTCTATTACTATTCTATTATATTCACACGGGAAAATATGATAAGTTGATTTTTGTTGAATTTGTGACTTTTACATCACTGAGAGACTACAAAGAAGTATTTTGGTACGACATATTTGAAGAAGTGTATAATATGACAGATTCGAAATTATAAACCTTCTAAAAATAATGGCGATAAATGTTCTGTAAAAAACGAATAACATAATGCAGTATCGTAACTACTATAGTTAGTTTATTAATGATAAGTAGATTGAACAGGTGTTAATTGAACAGAAAATAATGTTCATTAAACATGAACTAATCACAGCAAACGTATAATAATTAACACAACTAGGTAATTAATCAACGACCCTTATCAACGCAATCTTTGACATCTTAACTCGTATTGCTGTTAATTCGTTTATTGTCTTCTAGCAATTGTCTTCACCCTTATCTTTTGTCTTAGACTCAGGCTCAGCAACCGCTTGTTTATTATCTGCACCCCCCCCCCAGGCTCCTCATCAACGATACGTATTATTCTGCATATTCTTAATGTGTATGAAAGATATTGTTGTATCAGGAAAGGAGAAGGAATACGACTTATTGTGCTTTACATACCTTGATGCATAGGTTTTCGTTGCATGAGACTAATCAAATTGCAATGTAAGATGCTACTTACCGCCATTTGTGAGGGATTAGTCAAATGATAGACTGAATTATGAAGTTAACATCATGACCGAGTACGCCAAAAGGATACGGAGTATAGTAAAAACCATGTGAGCAATTCATTTCTTCATTCTGTAATTAATTTTATACATCTTTACAATCAATTTTCGGGACTCGTTTCGTTTGTTCGCAACATTAAAACCGCTAACTGTTATTGAATATAATGAGGGAAAGCGTGGTACAGATTATTCCGACTAAATGGTTTCTTATGCCACCACAATTAGAAATGGAATCAAATGGTACAGAAAACTTGGCATTTAACTTCTTCTGGGAATTTATATTGTAAACTCTTTGACGTTTTACAAAATTACAACAAGGAAGGATATAAATATTAGAACATTTAGAGAGTTATTAGCTGCAAAATTATTAGGGTTGTCTGGAAATATAAAAAATCCTTGTCTTCGACGGAGTTAGCATAATATCGCCGTTCGCAAAAATGATTGCGGAAGAAGCATTACACGCGCACGCAACCATGCTATGCAAATAAAAGACGTCGAATGGTCCGGACAAAGGCACAAAAGAATTTGAAGAAAACAACTTATTGTCCAAATCGTCCAACGGAGGTAACCGATGCTGTATATTTCCTAGAATTAGGTCGAATAGGCATTTGGCGAAACCTGCTGGTCATGTCCAGACTAATAAAATATCTCGCTTTTGCAATCTCGCGACTTGATCCGTAATAAGGGGTAAAGGATACCGATCCGCGACCATATTTTTATTTAGTTCTCGAAAATCTACCAATCATCTATCTGAACCATCGTTCGCCTTCAGGAGTAACATAGGGCTCGCTAACGGTGAATTACTATATTTTGCTCTAACTAATTCACTCATTCTCTCACGTACTGTTCTGCTGTTCTGCGCCCTTCCTCGCCAGGTCTATAAGGACTTCTTTGTACGGTGATGTTAGGATCAATTAATTATATTTCTAACTGGCCTATATTTACGCGAGTACATAGGAAATCCGTAACGAATGAAGCTTTGAATTTTTCGAGAAGAGAAATTAATCGACTTTTATCATTACAAGGTACATCAGTGTTAACTTCATTAATATCAATTCCGTTTTCAGCGGTTTTATTACAGACACTAATTATGTTTATTTTACATATAGCGACGCTACTTTGTGTAATATTACGTCAAAACCTTGACTTAATATTTCACGACCAATCACGACATCATATTTTAAATAACTATCAACAAGGACATAAAAATTTATCTCCGATGTAAAACCATTGATACATACAATGGAGAGGATTTGAGCTGTACGTTTAATACAAATATTTCTTATTCCTCGCATAACTACTATATCAATCGTTCTTTTGTCGGTTGTTGTCGTTGGTTGACGTGAGTTGCGAGTTGTGAGTTATCATTTAAATGTTGCCTAATTATACCGATTTAGTTGTTTTAGTTGTATTATATTAACATATTAAGAAATAGTTCTAGTTAAATAATCATGATTTCCTGTTCCATCGTTGTAATTAAATATATAAAATAAATATGTCGGGTTATCATTAGGATTTAAGGGGCGTAACAATTCTTCGTTTAAATTAGCCATTGTTTTACGAAACAGAGAATATATTTACGCGAATAAACAAGATTTTACAAAATATTATGAATAACGAGTTTAATAAATGGTAAGATTAACAAACGATAAGTTTAACTAATAATAAGATTAAAGAATAATAAGTTTAACGAACAATAAGAGGAACGAATAATATGTCTTACGAATAATAAATTTAACGAATAATGAGATTAACGATTGATAGGTTTTACGAATAATGAATTTAATTAGCGCTATTAACAATGTTTCGGGGTTCAAACGAATCCACGATCAACGGGATAACTCTTTACTATGCGTAGAATAATTTTAAACACAAAAATACGATTGCTGAGACACTCGGTAAATTGCTCGATGTATCACTTTCCAAGGCGATCACACGAATGAATATCTGATGAAAATCTTTTTCGCTATACTGCATTTGTTTGTTATATGCTCGCTGGAGACATCGAGAAGGTTCCAATCGTTGTCGCTAGGCAATTTCCGTCAAAGTTTGTTATATACTCTTTGGAAACATCGAGAATGATCCAAACGCCGTTACTAGGCAGTTTCTGTCTGGAGATTGATTCCTAATACAACGTGTGTCCCATTATATCGACATCTCTAAAGT